TGAAATCTAAAAGAACAATGTATTTGTCATAAAATCCTTTTTGTGGTTCTAAAACAAGACCTCCAGAATAAGCTGGTTTTCTTCGACCTGGTTTTTTTATTTCAACTTTTTCATCTAATAATTTAATCATACACACATATATACATAATGTATATATTAACTATTGGATCATTTTAATATCTTGTATATTTTCAAATAAAAAATCTTTTGTTACTATACCATTATCTTCTGGTTCTACAATATTATTGTATGAACGTTGCTTATTGGCCTCTTTGTCAGGATAAATATACTTTAATCTGTGGAACTCGTGTAATAACAAATATTCATTACGTTCGGCTCTACCACCAGTTAGAGTTTTTGACCTAATTAATAAATTGATACATTGAAATGTATATGTATATACATCATGAATTACTAGGTTGAAATAATTATCTGATATTACGTTATTTTAGAATATTGGTTTATACATACCACAGATTACCAGCAAGTGAGGTAAGTTGTTTTGTAAGAGGTAAAATTTGAAGTTCATACATTAAACGAGCAGAAAGAACTGAATCAAATTGACAATGCAAAACCAATTCATATAAATCTCTGCATGATGCAAAACATGATCCTGATATTTTTGTTGGACATAATTTTATGGGATTTGATCTTGATATATTATTACATCGTATAAATACACTAAAAATTAGAGATTGGTCATGTTTTGGGAGATTACGTAGAACAATGTAGGTCATTTTAAGTATAAAATGGTGCTATTATATTGTTATAATATTAAATGTTTTTGTTAAATTTTTGTTTTGTTAAAAAGTTGGCCAAAAATGAAATCTGGTGCTGGTGGTATTGGCGAATCAACTTACGTAGAAAAAATAGTTGTTAGCGGAAGATTATTGTGCGATATCTTTACAAATGCAAAGGTAAATTTACAATATTCTTTTTATTTTAATTTAAAAAAGCGTATTCTATTTATTAATTATTTTGTGGGATATTTATAATTTCTAGGATCTTGTTAAATCAAAAGATTATTCATTAACAGAACTTGCCAAAACCCATTTAAATTATAGTCGTAAAGACATTCAACTTGATAAAATCGAATCATGTTTTGCATCATGCAGAGATTTATATGAATTGGTTTTGCATTGTCAATTTGATTCAGTTCTTTCTGCTCGTTTAATGTATGAACTTCAAATTTTACCTCTTACAAAACAACTTACCTCACTTGCTGGTAATCTGTGGTATGTATAAACCAATATTCTAAAATAACGTAATATCAGATAATTATTTCAACCTAGTAATTCATGATGTATATACATATACATTTCAATGTATCAATTTATTAATTAGGTCAAAAACTCTAACTGGTGGTAGAGCCGAACGTAATGAATATTTGTTATTACACGAGTTCCACAGATTAAAGTATATTTATCCTGACAAAGATTCCAATAAGCAACGTTCATACAATAATATTGTAGAACCAGAAGATAATGGTATAGTAACAAAAGATTTTTTATTTGAAAATATACAAGATATTAAAATGATCCAATAGTTAATATATACATTATGTATATATGTGTGTATGATTAAATTATTAGATGAAAAAGTTGAAATAAAAAAACCAGGTCGAAGAAAACCAGCTTATTCTGGAGGTCTTGTTTTAGAACCACAAAAAGGATTTTATGACAAATACATTGTTCTTTTAGATTTCAACAGTTTATATCCTTCTATTATTCAAGAATTTAAT